ATACCGCGTACCGGTGGGTAGACCGGTATGGCCACCGGTACGGTATTTAAAACACTATAATATCATGAGTTCTGAAATATGCCACCAAGCAAATTATAATCCACAGAACAAAGAACACCAAATACATAATCATATAGTCTTCGTACCTGAATGACAGGAAACGAAAAGACTTGGAGGGGCACCACAGCAATAACGAAGGTCTTGAGGACTTTTGTGTAACAATCCAGCATGTCCCACAGCGTGTTCTTGGTTTTGGGCTGGATTTTGTATTTATCAATCTTTCGGGAGCGCGTGAGCTCCAAAATCACGTACGGCAACGGCAGCACCGTGTAGAAAATGAACAAGAAGATTGTGTTGTGGCAATACAGAAAATAATCTGTTTTTCGGGCCGAGTATTCGAACCATATCGTCTCGGCGAATGTCAGATTTCTTCCCAGGGAAGCTTGTGCTTCTTCAAGGCTTGCAAATGGCAACATTTTCTTCTTCTTCTTCTTCTTCTTGTTTTTGCTACTAATTAAGTTTGTTTTAGTTTCTCTCTCTATATGTTCTGTGTGTGTGAGATATAGAGAGAGAGAGAGAGAGAAAGAGAGAGAGTGAAAGAGATCGATAGAGATTGTTGTGTTTTTGCAGAAAAATGTTGAAAGATGAGAATTTTGAGAGAGAGAGAGAGAGAGAGAGAGAGAGAGAGAGTGAGAGAGAGAATTTGTAATATTTGATGTTTTTATGGTGAGGCGAATTAATGGGACAAGGTCTTAATGTTGTTCATTAATTCTTCCTTACAAAATGGACGAGTGGTTGAAGGATTTTATTACATAATTGTTTCAAGAAAAAAAAAAAAAAATTGAAAAACTGTGTAATATTCTGCTGAGCAAAATGAGACTCGTGTTCTGTTATTTGACCAAACAATTCATGGTGCATGTGGACGAGAGTGTTGTTGGCATTTTTTGGCAAACATGATCGGCTTCGGTCTTTAGTTTGATTATTGTTATATTTATTGTTAGTATTTATGTTTGTATTTATTTATAGAGTAATAAATGTACTTTTAATCATGTATGTTTCACTATTCTAATTTTTTTGTCCTCTTCGAATTGCATTTTTTATTTTCGTCCAATATGTTTGCAAAAATGTTATAAAAAGGTCTTTTTCATACATAAGAGACGAAATTGAAACTTTCTTTTGCAAAACATAAAGGACATTTTTGCTGCGAAAAAGATTTTTTTGTAACCTTTTTGCAAACATACGGGACAAAAATAAAAAACGCAATTCAAATAGGACGAAAAAGTTATGTTAGTTAAACATACAGAACTAAAATTGCACTTTACTCTTATTTATATTGTATTAGGTTTATTATGTTGGGCTTTTAAATATGTTGGTTAGGAAAATGTTGTAATATATATGAAAAAGATAGGTTCTATTGAAGGCAGTTAATATCAAATTGAAAGAAAAAAAAAATGTTCTCGCTTTCTCTGTACAACTCGCCCATCATAAGCTTCCCATACATCATTTTGATATCAATTGTCGGAACGATTCTCGATGCCACGACGAAGAGAAGCTGCAACTGAACGGCGCGATGCCGACATCAACGATCGATTTCAACAAGTGGATGATTGTTTTCAATTGATGGATAATCGGTTTGACGATCTCTCGACAAGGATCGACGAAATTCGTCGTTCACTACATACCATAATTGGAGAATGGCAGACTAACCGTGATGCTGGTTGTGG